TTTAAAGTCGCCATCTAGCGGATAGAATATTATTTATTACTTTTATAAATAAAAAAGTTATGAGTAAATTTAAATTTATAAATGTATTGAAGCTAAAATATCTAATAGATAATTTTTATACCTGTCCAAACATATATTTTATTTATAAAAATTAATTAATTCTCAATTAATATTAGGAAAGTGAAAGCCTACTGGAATATGATTTTAAATATAATACATAAATAAAGGACTATTTATAGCCGATCGATGTTTAGAAATAAATCATTAAAAACGCTGGGCAAATTAAATAAATTATTTATTATGTTGTTAGCTGATGTCCATTTTCCAATCGGGCGATATTTAATAATAAATGATTTATAAAATGGTTATCCGAGCGATATTTTCAGCTGAGCAATAAATAGACTCACTAAAACTATTTTTCAATATTTAGCTATCTATTGTTGTAAGTGCAAAGGAATAAATGTAATTTGGTCTACCTAAAAAACAAGATACTTTATTTGAAAACCACATAATTTAATCGTGCCATAATTATATAATATCTCAGTCTGAAGAAATAAAAACTAAAGATACGTTTGAAAAATAAAAAGCAATCCAGATACATGTGCTCACACTGTTGATCATTTATTCAATCCACATCTTACCAACAATGAGTTTGATGAAGCATGTGATATGATACAATAATTAGGGATTTTACAAGGTGATGATAATCAAAATATTTTGAATGATATTATAATTTCAGAAGTAAAAGTGGGAGGAGGGGGGGGGGTACTTAAACCAAAATATGTGGGTAGCAGTAACTTTCATAAAAAACAATCAGATTACGTTGTTAGAATTGACTTTGCTTATCTTGAACAAGAAATATCTAATATCTTACTAACAATTCTTAGTTACACTTCTTTTTCAGAAAGAAATCGGTTTGGGATAATACATATGAACTAAAGAAATCGATTGAAGATCTCGACAACAGGAAAATTGGTAAGAGTATATCATAATCTTAAAAAATGATAATATTGAATATAAATCGGAACAAGATTCTGCCACAAGAGGGAAATATTAATGATAGAATTAAAAAAATATATAATTTTTGATTCATTTTTATACTATTTTATATAAAATAAAGTTAATATTGTCTTAAAAGCATTTATTTGAATATGTCAGGTCAAATATCGGTACCTAATCATATTTAACCGTACATGTTAGCAGAGGCGTAAACAGGAGGTAGATGTACGTAATTTTTCTTTTAATCTACTGTCGTCCGAAAAATTATATTTTTTATGCAGTTTTGATACTCTTAGGTACCATTGCATGAAATTCTCACTCGAGTTCTGCTGTAATAAGTTAAATTTGTTTATTAGTTTTTATTTTGTACAGGTAAAAGGAAGTTAACTTTTTAGTCACTATCTTAAGATCTAATATGTCGGTATCAGAGCAAATTGATTTAATATTATCAAACACATCATCAGATAAATTATTATAAAGTATTTATTTTAATAGAGTCAGGTAATGTGCTGGTCGAAAAATAACTTAATATTCTGTCTAAGTAAATCTCAGTGAGTGGTCCAACCAATTTTGGAATTTTGTATATTAATTCTGGTTTAGTGTCCATATTTTATTTCATATACATATTTGGAAATCATAATAACACTTCAAAATTTTTTTTAATAAAAAATTTATTTATATTGTTAAACAAATTAGTTATTTTGTTGGGTCATTATTATAATGTCCTATATCTTCATTGGGTAATTCCATGATAAATAGACCAAAATAACTTGATTTTCGGACTATCATTTTTAAAATGAATGAAGCTTGGCATGAAGGTTAAATAGATCGTATATTTTATGCAAATCAAAATTTTAATGCCCTAGCTTAATTATATTCCTAGTTATGGGCCTTCAAAAAGTTTGATGAGAGCCTTTTCTACTTTTACTAAATCTTGAATACTCAAAATATTTCTGGCCTAAAGTAACAAATTTTAATCATTTTGTAGCCCTTAAATTCTCTTTAAGTAAATGCAAAATTAATTTTAAAAATATCTTCAGTGTCGTTGTATTTACGGTAAACAAAAAAATTATTTAGAAAACAGCTCCATTTAAAATGATGTAATTCATGAAATGTGTTTTTTTTACCAATGTATTTAAATATTTAAGTAAATTTATAATTTAAATGTTTTATTTATATTTTAATTTTATATAAAAATAAGTATAAATTAATTTTTAAATATTATATTAATTTATATTTAAATAAATTATTCATTACGCGATTAAAATAATATAAAATATATTCTAATCATCATGTGAGATGAGGCTGCCAATGAAGCTGATGTAATTGGCCCTGTGAATTGCTATTGCGAGTCTTTGTCTTAAGAAGAAGCCTTCACGAAGTTCATCTGTTAGTTTGCTGATTAGCGATCCAAGTTCCTTGAAGAAAGAAAGAGCACGATTTCCAAAGGTAGTCATGGTAGTGGAAATGATGGGAATGAATAAGTGATCTTGGGATATCTCTGAATATTTTGCAATTTTTAGAAGCTTATTATTCTCCAGAATGTTAAGGGATGGATTGGAAGGGGCCAATAGATCAATACAAGAGTAATCCCAGACCAAGAATTGACTTAATGCAGAAAATAAGAATTTAAATTTTATATTTTAAGTTAGAAAAATCAATTATAAGATTCTATAAAAGTTATTTTTTCTATTTTAAGTTATAAAAATGCGACACTGATAGTATAAGGTTAGAGAAATTGAGTTTTTTTTATTATAAACAAAAATATATTAAATTGCAAATAAAGCAGGCGATAAAATTACAAAAGTAGAAGATAGTAGAAATTACACAATTATTTTAATATTTGAACGGTCGGATATTGTTTGATATCTTTTAACCTTATAATCTCGAACGATCTGGTATGGCCATTAAGTTTAAATTAGGTTTAAACTTTCCTTTTTCAATATACAATTAAAAAAATATTTAAATCTGAAAGAATATTTTAAATAAAAATTTATATATTATTAAGAAAATATTTCAACAAAAAGATATTTAAGATGGAAAAGTTACAATCGGGATTGACATTTTCGTGTTACGTCGATTAAGCGTCTTTGTTACATAGAGCATCCTAATGTAATTTTAATATTTATTTTTACCGAAAAAATACATAAATAACATAAGGTTATTTAAATTTGTATGTAATATATTAGACCGTAACTAAAAGATGTATTTATTTTTATCCAAAAATAAATAGAAGTGGATATGATTGAGCTTAATTTTTAATTTGGGTTATCATAATATAAAGAATGAGATATAATTTAATATTTTATATTTAAAAATGCAACGATAGTTTGTGCGCATTTTATTTATTAAATAAGTAACTATAGTTCTTTATCAACCAAATTATATCTACTGTAAATCCAATTAGCATTAACAACACAAATTAAATTAAAAAAATTTTCAGTTTCCGTATTATTTTAATATTTTGTTTCAATTTCATTTTTTTTTAAAAAACATGAAAAAATTTGACCTAGCAAGATTTGAAACCAGACCTCGAATTACTAGGCAGACGTCAAGAGCAGTAGACTAAGTGAGCTTTTTTAAAAAGTGGTTTTAATTTGTACATTTTATATTTACTATTCAATTTTCACTCTATTTAGACCTAAAACAATAATTATGAATGTCACATTCAAAAAATAATTAACTGTATGATGTCTATTAAGTCTACTTTATTAAAAAAGAAGCGCTTGTACATACTTAAAACAAACCAAAATACGATGTCCTATTTCAATATTAACCTAAACTGAACGTGAACAGCAATAAGTTAGTGTTGTTAAAGGGCTCGTTTTGAGCCGATTTTTTAAAACTGCTAACTCAATATTTTAGCCAAAAAGAATATTGCCTAAGCCTCGATATTTCGAGAATATATGTCTTGACCTATGTTCCTTCTATAAACAAAATCTTTAGGCTTGTGTAATATTTTACATGGATGAAATATTGAAGCGGTATTCAAAAATCGGCTCAAAACGAGCCATTCAACAACTAGAATAAGTTTCAAAAATGAGTCGAACCAGAGCCTTTAACATAATTATTTCTTCAGAACGATAATTCAATAGTGACTCTCATTTTGGCCATTTTATTAATGTAGCAGTTAGGCAATTCTATTACTGGGGAAGCTAATTCTATTGCTAAGAAATTAATACTCACATTTCTTGGGGTAAATAACGAAAGCGTTTATAAAAATCTCAAGGAAAACATGGTAAAGGTCAGAAGTAAGCAATCGATGATTTTTAGCCAACTAGCCCCCCCCCCCTCGTTTGGTTGTTTTATATTTTTTTAACCCACCGCTAAGCGATAGAAGCAGAATACCCCCCTGAAATGTAGAAACTCCCCTTTTGAAAAAATGGTTTATTATTTTTTGACATCCTTATTTTAAAAATAATTTTTATTGCATCAATCTTTAATATATATGTAAAAAAAATAGATACTTTAAAAATAGATACTTTAAAAATATTATTTCTAAATTAGGGGAAGAAAAAGCGAAAGAATATATAATCTCATCAATATTTAATTGTTTAAATAAATTTTTTTCCATTTATAAAATGGTTATATTAAGAAATGGATCTTTCATGATACTACAAAGTCTTGTTTTAATTAATTTAATTTTACTCATGAATGACCCTTTCTGCAGTACATGAGGTAGTAGGAATGATTAATAAATATTTATATAAAATTATTAAATGAAAGCAGGAAAATTTTAAAGTGACGATAAGGTAAAATAAACGAATAGTCTTTCCAGTCTGAATCATAAGTCTCAGAATTAACATCATCATCAGAAGAAGAAGCTAAATGATGTTTTAGTAAAAATATTTTAATTAAATAAATTTACAATTCTCAGAATCGAACAAATCTTTAGATTCTTTAGCCTCTAGGTCATGTGTAATAATTACATCCCCCGTTTTAGCCATCTTATAAATATTTCGAAACTTCAACATTTCTTCAAAAATTTGACTTGAATTTAAATGGTAAAAGATATCCTCGATACCATCTTTAACATTTACTTTTCCACCATTCCCTTTGGTGTAAAAGTGATGTTTGATTTAAAAATTTCATCGATTCATCATTGAATCTTTCATTAAACTGCATAATAATCAAATCAAGTGCAGCATAAAACACACTGGTTTTAAAGCTAAAATAAAATATTATATTTAATGATAGTATATATATACCTCTCCTCTTTGGATTGTAATGTTTGAAGTCTAGAACTTTCAAAATCAAATGGCAGATTTCTCTCCTTCATAAAATCTTGTGCCTTTGAAAAAACATCTAAAAATTCAGTGTTATTATCTATTAGTTAAAAAATAATAAAAGATAATAATTTAAATTATACTTCTCAAATTAATCAGGCAATCTTTTGCCAATTGAATTTGATTTATTGCAAACCCTATATCCTTCTAAATGGTTTAAATTATTAAAAACGCTCGGCAAATTAAATAAATTATTTATTATGTTGTTAGCTGATGTCCATTTTCTAACCGGGCGATATTTAGTAATAAATGATTTATTATATGGTTAGCCGAGCGATATTTTCAGCTGAGCGATAAATAGACTCACTAAAACTATTTTCCAATATTTTATTGTTGTAAGTGCAAAGGGATAAATGTAATTTCGTCTACGTAAAAAACAAGATAGTTAATTTGAAAAACACATAATTCAATTGTGCCATAATTTTATAATATCTCCGCCTGAAGAAAAAAAAACTAAATATACGTTTGAAAAAGAAAAAGCAAGAAAATCTCTTGATTCATCAAGAAATTCATACAAATCTAAGTCAACATATCTCTATATATATTAGCCCTTGCACAAATGAATGAACATTTTATTTTTTAAGAACAATCAAAACATGACATTAATACTATTTATTTAGCAGATTTAAAAAGATCAAAATTTTAGCGACCCAAATATAAGCTTCGAGATATCCTCAAAAAGAGGCTAAACCTTTTTGCAATGTTTTAATGCAATCTTGAGGGCTAGATCATTATTTTTGGCTAAAATTGTGATTTTACTGTTTTTTTTTAAAATCATCTTCGAGTTTAATAACATAAACAAATACTTATGAAATCATTTAAAGAATTAACTCAATCACAAAGTAGAAGGCATATATATTTTTTATAATTAACTTGTGAATATTTTTGTGTATTAATCTACATCATTTTAATTTTTTAAATATAAAATATATCGTAGAAATTGGGTCATTTTTTTCTAACAAGTACAAATTTTTTTAATTCATATACATTTTAAAGGTACAAAAATATATTTTTTTATACAACTTTATTTAGCACATATTTATTTTATAGTGATTCATATAGTAATAGCTCTATTTTTAAACGAACCGATTCCAAAAATATGACAAATTTTTAGCCGAGGAAAATCCTCAGCCTCGGGTTTATAACCTTGTTATACACATTTAATAATTAGCTTTTTGTGAACAAAATAATAGAATTTGAATAGAGTTTGAGTATTCTACAAAACTAAACGTTAATTTCAAAATATTTTGAGCTATGTTATACTAAGAAATTTCTAAATATAGCTCATATTGGTTAATAGTTTTGAAGGCAATTTGTGACAATTGATTATATGATATAATTTAACAAAATATACAATTTTAGCGATATATTTTTTAAAATATTATAGTTTTGAAATAATTTCTTATTTTTATTTTCCATTTCAAAGGTGTAAAAAACTTAACCAATTTCAATATAACAACAGCATACCGTCTATGCATATTAATTTGCTATAAATTTTATGACATATAAGGTTTATACCATATAATACTATCAAAAGTTACAACGAATAATTAAAAAAAAGTAAAATTGCAATTATTAATAATTTTTTTTATAATTTATAGACATGACAATGTTATAAAAATCAGGTAATAAAAAGAATGAGAATTCTATTTATATCGAATAACCCTTTAAGGTTATATGAGAGTGCTATTATTAATGCGTAATATGGATTTAGATTTAAATTATAATATTATCATATAGTATGATGAATTTTATATTTTTTTTATAGCTTTCGCGATAATAATTTTATTTTATATTATTTAATATAGTATTACATCTGATAAATATTTATGTAAAAGTAAAAAAATTTGAAATAGATAGGCATTATTATAATATAATTGTTCAATTTTTTTTTACTTTTCCTCTTTCAAAAGTTCAAGAACGTTTATTATGTCAAATATTTAATAAATCGTTTTCTTTTTTTATACTTATTATTTTAATAACAAAAACTTTTTATCATTCATAATCCACTTTGTTATCATTAATTTTCCTTCTGTGATATTAAACATAATTTTTTTTTAAATATTAAATTTTGTAATTTACTTTACATATAATTTAAAAAATATATTATATTTTGCAATTTACGCATAATTCATATAAATTACTTATAGATTTCATAAACGACAGGAATTCAAAGATTCAGCTATAAAATGTCAACTATTTATCACTCAATTTGCTTTATCATTTACACAGTAATATAATCTCTTTATAAATAGTTTAATGTTTATTATATTATTTTAAATAATTTAAATATGGTAATTAATGTTTGAAAGAATTATTCTGATCTAAAAAGTGTTGTATTATGAAAAGTTAATTACTTTATCAATAATATTTTTAAAAATTTATCATCATAATCGATTTTTCAAAATATATGTGAGTTTTAAGAGTGGTATGTATAAAGATTTACTTTCTTATTTGACTTTCAAAATTTTATTAATATGGCCCTAATCCAAATAAAATGATAAATATTATAAAAATATTTTTGTATACAAGGGGTTCCATATTAAAAAATCTGAGGACTTGTAAAAATTTGAATTAAAATTTATATATGGCCAATATATATAGTAGAATTTGGGACTCAAATTTTAACAAAGTTACTGGGTATTTATTATCCTCGAGATAATATTTTATGTTTCTATATTATAGAGAAAAAATTTTTTTAGTAATATTTGCCTAATTTTTATGGATTATGTCATAATTTTTTAATACATAAAAAATGAATAATTTTTTTGTGGATAGTTAATTATAATGGCTAGTATAATTAATTGTAATGGTAATGAATCATTTTATCATAAAATTAATTATTTCTCCCTTTTTGCCACCAAACCAAATAGATAACCTTACTTAAAATAATCCGATGCCAAGTTGTAAATAACCATGAAAATGCTTCCCAAGCTATTGTTTCATTGGTTTTCGATGTATTTTACGAGTCTTTGTGCCCCGATAGCAAAAATCTTATAACCAAACAAGTATGGATTTTAATACAAAAGTTGCGCAATGAAAGTAACGATAAAAAGGATCTGGTCAAGTTTCGATTTTGGCCTTATGGAAAATCTAGCGTGAGCCTTAATTTTGGAAATTATTACTATGCTTTCATTTCACAATGAGTGTGTTCTTATTTAAATTTACATGCTTATATTATATAGTATTTCCATTCAAACATTTTAAAATTTAAATTAATTTCTAGATCTAATAAAACAGATGAGGGCGAGACTATGAATTACTAGCTAATAACCCATCCAGAATGAGGGGGTTGAGGGGTAATTAGGTAGTTTGTGTATATTGTACTAAATATACTTTATTAATATATTTTATGAAAATATTAAAATTTAAGAGAAAAAGAGGTAAATTTGTGAATCACATTTTATACATCTATCATCAAATAAGGGAGAAAAGTATGATGACCCGTCTTTCTTGAAGGGCAAAATGAAAAATATATAACTAAGAGTACCAGAGCTCCCGTTAGTCAGCATTGCTGACCCTGTCAAAAATGACGGGGAATAAGAATTTTATCCTTACTTTTATGATAGTTGTTACCTGTTATTTGAAAATAATATCCAATTTTTATTCTTTATAACCCCCTTCTCCCTTCAGGCTAGGTCCAATCCATTAGAACTAAGTGTAAATACTATGTTTTGAGTCAAAATATAATTAATTTACTTGATACCCATATCAATATTATTTGTTAAAATATTACATGCCTAATATTTAATTTTGAAAAAATTTACCCAAGCCCAACCAAAGAATAATAATTTAGGTAGTTCAGAACTGGAATAAAATATTTAAAAAATCATAATGAATTTAAAAATACAATCAAAATCAGATTTTCATGGGCCTTGGTTTATTGATCAGGCCGAGCCCAAGCCTACAAAAAAATTTCTTTTAGGTCAATGTCTGATCCATAGTTAACAATAAAAAAAATTCCCAAGCGTCCAAGTTGATTTGAAAAATTTTCCTCAAGCCTAGCCCAATATAATTTATTAAAATATTTTCCAAGCCCAGCCATACCCATTATAATTTTAAAAAATTTTTCTCAAACCTGGCCAACCGATAATAATTTTGAAATTTTTTTCAAGCCTGGAGCTAGGTAAATCTCTAAAAACTTTATCTATTTTATATTCTTTTTAATCCCGCTCAATCCTACTTCAGACCATGGCCAACCCATTAAGACTAAGAGTGAATATTATTTTTTGAGTAAAATTTATTTAACTTAGCTTTAACCTAAAACCCATATAAATATTCTGTGTTAAATATTATAAGATCTAATATTAAAAAAATTTCCAAGCCAGTTTCATGCATATAATATGTTGGGAAAATTTTCTCAAGCCCGCCAAAAACCATAATAATTTTGGTAGCAGAGAACTGAAATAAAATATATAAAAGTCATAATTCACTTAAAAATACAATTACATTGGCCTTGATTTTTGATCAGCTGCAAAATAAAATTTTCAGGCCATGTCTAGCCCATATTTAAAATTATAATTTTCAAGTATCTCTATTTTAAATTTTACCCAATATGATTTCTATCATAAATTTAAATTTTATTCTAAATATAAAATTAAATTTAAGACAGTGTTATTAAATTACAATAGAAATAAATGGCAAAATTTAAAGTTGTATGGGACTTGGTTTTTTGATCAGGCCTGTCTGCATAAAAATATTTTCAGGCCAATGTCTATCTTATTAATGTTAGATATTACCAAGTCAATGTAAAAGGATTTTCTAAGTATTAATACCAATCTAATTTGCTAAATACCGACCAAAATTTATTTAAATTTAATAAGACTCTTATTATTTGACATATATATTTTAACGGAATCACGTGGTCGAGTCCGGCATCCTATCTATCATTCCCCAAATGACGGAACCACCAAATTAGATTTAAAAAAAGCATGGACTTGCTGGGATTCGAACCCAAAACCATCGCACCAATGAGGCCACAGACGCTTTTCAAAATTCACGATTTTTTAGGTTAGATGTATGCTTGGAAACAGAAGGTCGCAGAGGACGCAGGTTCAATCCTGGTAAGGAGCATAAAAACTTTCAGGTTTTTCTTCGATGACTGATGTGTAAAGACATATGGTAAGATAAATTTCGGAGCTTAGAGATGACACCCCGGTCACCGACAGGCCTGGACAGCTGGGTGCTAAGGATACTTGTTCTATAAACAAAATGAAGGAAACAAATGAAATATGAATATGATAGCTAGGGCGTTCCTTCCATGCGACACGCAGGGTGTAGACCTCCATCTTGCGAAAGGTAAAATAAAGGTCAAAGCAAAGAAGACAAGGTTAACAAGTTTGAATATTGGGACACTTAAAGGTAAAACGAGAGAATTGGCATCAATGTTGAACAAGAGAAAAGTTGATATAGCGTGCATACAAGAGACGAAATGGAAAGGACAGAAGACTTTGATAATTGGAAATGGGTATAAATTGTATAATGGAGTTGTTAGCAATAGGAACGGTGTCGGCATCATCCCCAGTCAAGATCTAACCTCCTCAGTAGTAGAAGTCAACAGGATCTCTGATAGACTAATGAAGATAAAACTCTGCATTGGTCAATCAATACTACACATCCTTTCAGTATATGCTCCTCAAACTGTTTGCAAGGAAGAAGAGAAAAATGACTTTAGAGCTATCCTTGATGAAGCTGGAATGGAAATCCCTAAGGATGACCTAGTCATAATAGGTGGTGACTTAAATGCGCATGTGGGAAAAACAAGAGATAGCTACAAAAGGCATCATGGTGGTTTTGGATATGGAGAAAGGAATATGAAGGAGAGCATGTACTAAAATTTGCGCAAGCCTTTGATCTTGCCTTAACCAACACCTACTATAGGAAAAAAGACAGTCATATAATAACATATGAAAGTAGTACAAGGAAAACACAGATAGATTACATGCTAATCTCTCGCAGAAGATTAAAAGATGTAATAGACTGCAAAGTCATCCCAGGAGAAGATATAGCCGGTCAACACAAGCTACTAGTCAAGGATTTACACATCGCAAATAAATCCACTCAAAACAAGATAAAACTGGAACCATGCATCAAATGGGGTAAATTAAAAACAATGACAGATGCCTTTGCGTCAATGCAAACATTGAAACAATAGATTCCTCAGAAGTCAGTGAAAAATTGAGGACAGACCATTCATCTAGATTAATAGACACTGCCAAATCAACACTAGGCTTGACAATGGGAGGTAACAAATCATACAAAGAACTATGGTGGTGGAATGAAGAGATACAAACCACTATACAGGAGAAAAAAGCCCTTTATAAAATATGGTACAAATCTAAAAACCCAGATGACAAGACAAGATACAAAAAATCCAAGAGAATAGCTACTAAGGCGGTGGCTAGGGCCAAATCTATGGCATACTGTGACATGTATGAAGTACTACATACCAAAGAAGGGCAAAATAAAATATACAGATTAGCCAAACAGCGAGAAAAGAATTCTAGGTATATACAAAAACAAAGATGGGAAATTGATAATAAAGGAAAAAGGAATAATGAATAGATGGAAAGAATATTTTCAGGAGCTTCTCAACTTTAATCCCCACATACTACATCTAGATGAACACTCCCCATTCAAAACCTTGCACAACCAATAACAGAACAAGAAATAATCACATGCCTCAAGCCTATGAAAAACAACAAAGCTAGGGGTCCAGATGATATTCCATTATAAAGCCTTAAAGCACTAGGAGATGATGGAATACATTTCTACACAAATCTATACAATTAAATACTTGGAAATGAAGAGGTTACTCAAAAATGGAGGCAGAGCTATCTAGTTCCTATCTTCAAAAATAAAGGGGATCCACACAATTGTCAAAATTACATGGGCATAAAACTAATGTCACACTGTCTAAAACTATAAGAAAAAATAATAGAAAAAAGTTTAAGAGACATAATCGAAATAAGAGAGACTCAGTTTGGCTTTATGCCTGGAAGATCAACAACTGATGCTATCCACGCAATTAGGCAAATGAGTGAAAAATACAGGGAAACGAACAAAAAGATACACATGGTCTTTCTCGATCCAGAAAAGGGCTTTATAGAATCCCAAGAAAACTTATCTGGTGGGCGCTACGCCACAAAAAGGTTCCATAAGAATATATAAGAATAATACAGGATATGTATTTGGGCCATACAACAATGGTCCGTAGCACAACAGGTACTTTAGCACGATTCACAATAGCCGAAGGAGTTCATAAAGGGTCGGCTCTCAGCTCACTTATCTTCATTACAGTAATATATGTATTAGCACAGTCTATACCTCAAACAGTCCCGTGGAATATGATATTTGCGGATGATACTTGCCGAATCCAAGGATGAAATGAAAGAAATATCAGTGAGTTGGATAAATATCCTAGAAAAGCACGGACTAAAAGTAAATAGAGAAAATACGAAGTATATGGTGATAGGAGGAGATGAAACAGAGAGTATTGATATAAATGAATGGCAGATATCGGCAATTGAAAGCTGCAAATATTTTGCTCCCAAACAAACGGCACAATATAAAAAGAGGTAAAGAGTAAAATTAATCAAGGGTGGTTAAAGTGGAGATCTTTATCTGGAGTACTATTTGACAAAAGAATCCCACACAAATTAAAGGGAAAAATTTACACTTCCATAGTATAACCAACTATTCTATATAGTTCGGAAACATAGCCAACCAAGGAATTAGACGAGAGAAGTCTCAAACTATGGAGATGAGAATGCTGAGGATGATTGTAGGGGTAATAAGAAAGGATAAAGTGCGCAGTACAAGAATACTAAGTACTTTAAAGGTAGTGCCCATAAAGACTAAGTTAATGGTAAACAGATTTAGGTGGTATGGGCACACAATGAGAAGGCCTATGAACTACATAGGAAATAAGGTTGAGAGTTTGGAAGTGATGGGCAAACGTAAAAGAGGAAGGCCAAAACTTGGGCCATAAAGTTAGAGCCAATATAAAGAAGTATAAATTAGATAAAAGAGATTGTATGAATAACATAAAGTGGAGAGAGATGTTGAAGGAGCTAACCACCAGAAAGGTGAACTAAAG